ATATATATATATAATATATATATATCCATATATGTACATGTACATATACATGTGTATATATATTTACATATTTATGTTATATGTAGTAAAATCCCCATTCCGCTGGTCTAACAAATCATTTCCACCTATACTCTGAGACAGCACGATAAGGTAATAGACGTAGGCATCCTTTGAAAAAATAAAGTGTCGGCCGGTCACGAATACAGAGATCCTTGCAGAATTCCCCTTTGTTGACCAAAAAACTTGGGAACGCTGTAATTATGACATATCCCTATAATACGCGCACACAAAAATGGAAAATTTCCATCCAGAACTTAAAGATACACGTTAGTAAAACCAACACCAACGAAATGACCGGTACGAGAAAACATGGGCTACTAGAAAAGAAGAAAAAGTTCTCCTCTGAACCTGCCCGACTAAGGAATTGGATAGAGACGGTGTCGTTGTCATTATAAGCTTGGCCACCTCTGAATAAATAACGCTTCTTCTAAACAACTAAGGACCAGAATCGAATACTTATTGTTGAAAAAATGTGTACGAAGACAATTTTCACTGTCTATGGTCCAAAATCAAGCTACCACAAAGGCGAGATCGAACGTTTCTGTATAGCAGAACGTCTGATGAAGGTTACAGCGAGAACCGAGCTATAAAATGGATTCAGCAGAGTGGCTGTCTGACTTTATGGTTATGATAAATACTAGTCATGGGTAGTTAACAGCTCCAGAATCCATCCTTGAGAAGTAGACATGGAATTCCCTAAATATAAAACCATAGTAAAATTGACCATGTCACTCACTGTCGATTGAAAATACTGCAAACCCTAAAATGGTCCACATATGGTGACTTTTTCACTCATGGTTTCGCTTACATCGCCAGTCCCGATTAAGATAACAGCTCTTCAGCGAACAAATGGAATTTTGACCGTATTCAGAACAGCAAGATGACCCATAATTTCCCCATTAATCTCTAACATCAATTACGACAACCATGGTCACAGACATACCATCACAAAGAGAATGGATATTTCACACTCACACCACATCGCGACAGGTCCAGACCTCGACACCTCAGGAACCTAACTTCACTCCTAAGCAAGACCCTGCGCTTAACCATCATCCATCTTTCGTAAATCAGGGTGCGCACATTACGAATAAGTAGCACATGTACTGTTTAAAAAGAACAACGTACAATTCACTGGCGACATTCATAAAAGAATCTAGGTAATGAATAACCAAAAATGTTGGCTGAGACATTTTCAACAAGATGAGTACAACAACTACGAAGAGCATCCATTCATTGTTCCGAATAGAGTTTGCTACAACAGACCTTTGTCCATATCGCTGTGAAACAAACTAAGGTATAACAATAGTCCAAGATATCAACATGTGTCGTTCCCGTCGACTTGTAACAGGCCATCGAATCTGCTAGGTCAAACACGATCAAGCAACACCAGATAAATCAATACATCATAATAAATACAAGATATAAAACAGATTCATAACAGCGGCAAATTAGCGCCTTGTGTAGCTTTTAAGAACATCATGGTTTAGTGAATAAGATAAAGAACACCTTGTCCATTTCTTCGAATTGTACTATACGCGTCGTTAAAACATGTCTCGAAAACGGTAGAACGAAATTCGGTCAGCGTTTATCGAAAAGATGTTGTTTTCGATGGAACATTGCTAGGTCTATGTCATCCCGTGAAACTGCTCGAAGAGATTCAAAGTTAACTACTTGAGATGAACGACGCTCCAGTATGCTATACAATGTCGAAGAACAAATGTGTTGGACAAATGTGCATCATGCATTTTAACAACAGTAAAACGACAGAGATTAGTGAATGTCAACTCAAGAGGACCACAATCTTAGTGTCCGTTGATATTCTTGAAGGTTTCATAAAGAAAATGCTGAGCAAGAAATATGACTCTTGCTGTTTCAAGAAGAAGCCACTGTGCGGCTTTAGCTCGTTATATGAGAATTCTACTGATACCTGCTCGAGTTGTACAACGGCCAACGGGAGAATACGTGTACCAAAGATCAAAATTGGAACAGAATAAGTGTATCACAAAACAAAACTGGAACATGTATAGAACCACAAACAGTAAGCTTACGGTCTAGAAAAAATAAGGCTAAAGGTTTGAAGGTCTTATCTCAAAAACAGTACTGATAAACACAATCCAGAAACAGTGTAACATATCTCACCAGTTGGCGACGGAACCATGCATTCCTTGCACGAACGCCGAAGACTTCGTCAACGAATAAGACCAGGACGCGAAGTGGGATATTGTCAGCAGTGGATTCCTGAAACGATGCTACTGTTGTGATATAAGAAAGAAATAAATGACAAATATGGCAAAATTGTGACAAAACAGCTTTTCATATCAAAGGGTCTTAAATGATAAGGGATAAACCTCTCGGCGTTGATCAATTCCACAGGGATGCTCCATGCACTCGACTTCACTAAGTATCGTTCGAGATTGAATGCATATCTGGCCTTTACAATGAGTCGTGGTGGCCTGACCTATCGATCCATCGAGTCAGTGCTGCTATCCCTCTAGGCAAGTATGGAAGCAACTTGCCGACTCCGGAGAGTTGGAATGCTTGGTCAGCCTGGGGTGCGGGGATTGATCCCACGTGTATTGCAGGGCGCTTTCGACCACTACGCTACACGTGTCCTTTTAACGCGTCTTAACGACTATAAAAATAAAACATTTTAACTACTCTTACCCTTAAATGTCTTACTAGCTGCGCATTTTCAAAATTTTTAATAAAATATAATAGAAATCCGAAACAATTCTAAAACACCGCAAAATAGACTCACATCATCAGTTATGGCAGCAGCGACGCGATCAGTATCAACAACAGAGGGTTTTGTGGCCCCATTCAATGGCTGCTAAATAAATTGAGGAATTTAAGGACAAGGAAGGCAAAGGGTCCATACATACAAAGTAAGGTGAAGATAACGTACAATAATAACTTTGGCAGCGCTGTTAATACCAGCACCAACTTTTGAAACTCCACCATACACCTTCAAATAAGATGTAGATAAATTCGCTTTATAATCCTTTATTATAAAGACAATACTACCTGATCAGGTACGGCCATCACTGTACTTCCTACTGCTTTTACTCCCATTCTGATCGGATCAAACATTGCAGACATCATCTTAACAAACCACACTCTAACTGAATGAGAACATCATGGCAACCTCGGAAAATGTGAAGAAAAAGAAACAAATTAACATGTGTGTGGGAACTAAAGACGGTACTTCATACCTCTTCCCATTTTTTTGGTATATAGTTCTGGAAAAGTATTATCAACACGTACAATAAAGTACCTTCTTTGCAACTGGTTCCCGATTACCCTCGTACTCTTTCTGGCTGAGAAAGTCGAATAGCATGCTTTCCAATTCCGGGTACTCCCCAATCATTGATGGATGGAGGACGCAATCCAGGAACAAATTCAACGCCTTAACAACGATGCTAACCAGGAATACTAGTAATGACGCAAACGCCCTACCTTTGTTCGTTTCTCCAAGAAATGTGCGTCCAAGTTGTTGAACGTCTTCTTACCAGGAAAAGACAAATTGGTGAGTTTTGGATACTGAAAACATATCACAGATAGGACGCAAAAACCAACACACACACATAAGTGTACCTTTTGAACAATAAAAGCATGTAGGGTGTGAAAATCACTGTATCGTCGGAGAACGTTCCAACCACTGACTTTTTTGCCATTTACTGACCTGCTTACTCGCACGTTGTAAAGAGCGAACGATTGTTTCCCCTGTAAAAGACAATAGAGCTAGTCCACTGACTGGGAAGACGTAAACACGTTAAAAACTATTGTTGTAATTACAATGCTAATTTCTTATTTGCTGTCCACTACAATTTTTCACGGAAGGGTGCTATGTGAAATAAAAGCACAACGATGAGGAGATATTTATAAAATCTCCGGACCGCAGGTTTCACAGATGGGGAACGAACGCGCTATTACCCTTTCCAGGGGCTAACGCGTTCACCACTACACCATGCGAGTCCTTCCTTTCGCCTTTCTCTCAGCCGTGCTATTGAATTATTGTTGTACGTATGTAATGAAAGTTCTACTGACCTGCTGTCCTATACCCAATGTTTCGACTATAGCAGACATAACCGGTTTACCGTTATTTATCATTCTCTCCTCAACTACCTAAAACGATCATATATGGCTCATGTGCTTCGAAAAATGATTTGGTTCCTGAACTTTAATGAGACCTATCGTAACTTTTTGTTAGTTAAAATAAATACCACAAAGGACCTACATGTATTTACCAATATGTCTTCATATTACAAAATGTCCGAATTTAGTCATTTTGGAGTCCAGAGATTATTTTCCTTTCCTGTTTGTTTTTCTCCCTCGTGCCTCGAAAACCGAAATGAATGAATAAGCGCGATTTTGTCCAGCAAGACGCGATAAAATTGTAAAGATAAAGCTTTCGACGTTGATCAATCCTTGAGGGATGCACCATTCATTCAACGTCATTAAGCAACGCTGGAGGTGACTGAATGCAGGTCTGGTCTTCACAATGACATGCGGTGGCCTAGCGATTATCGAGCCATTGTTGCTATCCTTCCGAACAAATCTGGTACCAAATTGTCGACCCCGGTGAGACGGAAAGCTTAGTGAGCCTCGGGCGCGTGGATCAATCCCATGTACAATTGCATAGCGCCTCCGACCACTGCGCTACACGCGCCCTTCGGGACAGGATCACGTAACCAAATTTATTGCTAAGGCTTACAACCGCCACTTCTTCTTTGTTAAAAAAGTGAGGTTTAAATTTCACTGTCTTTTTAAAAGTTGGATTTTAGGAAAATCTGAAAATAAAACTTTTAAAAACGTAAGCATACTCGTGGACCGGAGAGACAGCCTCTTCTATAATTAAATGATGTTCTTAGGTTCTCAAGTGATCTAATCCTGGATAAATATTGAAAAAAACAGCATCGCTGCGGAAATATTGAGGCGTGATATAAAAATAATCATTTAATACCTCACTAGAAGGAGTTTGTTGCTCCGGGTCAGAAATAGCCGAATGTACGGAGCCCGCATCTGATGCCAGTGTTTCTTGTCGATCCTCGTCATTATTAATACCCAACTCGCTGAGCATTTTAGGATAAAATGAACTTTTCTTGAAACCAGGATAAAAAAGATCATCAGTACGCAATACTTCAACGACCTGAAAACGACCTAACAGGTTTTTTTTCTACAATAAAAAAACACTCTAGGACCAACTTTCTTTTAACATCGGCACTGATCAATAGTGCACAGCTTTTTTGATGAGCAAGCATGAGATTGCTACCAGTAGGATTTATTCAATACAATGCAGGCTGACTTGTTGCGGTTTCGCCATTTTCAGAACTCATTTTTTCTCCTCCAAAGATGATCCTCCAGATACTGGGTGAAATAGGATTATCTCAACTCGCCCTAATTCAGTTGAGCATAGATGTTGTCTCGTCTGCATCGAAGAGAGACGCGTAAAACAGCGTATTAATGCCCAATACCCAGACTAGAAGAAAGTAGGTCTTGGGCCTTAGTAGATGAAGTACCAGCAAAATCATTCCGACTTGTCAAAGAATCCTGTCACTAAGATAGAAGTTTTAGCTAGACAAATAACATCCTTTCTCCGCCGCTGCCTACAACACCGAATTATGCAGAATTGCATTAAACGAAAACAACTACACGATGTATACGATCTACCGAAGGACAGCCACCAAGTGCTAGATATCGAAATGCGACTACTACGTGCCTTTCTTCGGTGCAAGCATGACAACATATATGCTAAACTGAAGAAACGCAAGTTAAAGGAATCCTATAATGCTCAGTATTTCGAAGATCACCTTTAGAGAAGAATAATGGACTCTGAAGAACACAAAACCGTCGAAAGGTCAGCTAGCACTGTACTGAATAAATCTTACTGTTAACAACCTCGTGCTTACTCATCAAGAAAACGATGTACTATTGAGAAAAAGCAAATATTGTTGGAGAAATCACAAAACTCGTAACGGCATGGGGTAACTCCAACATCTCGGCTTGATTTGATGCCAAAGAGAATGCTTTCTATTTTTGCCTTATTCAATCTATTTCGAAATTGGACAATCACAAGGTGCAGGTTAAGCTGCCTTGTTGACTGGCTTATTCGCAATGAATAACAACAATTCCTTTCATTTAATGTACATTTTCCAGAATGCCTTGTATTTTATTTTAACCCTCCCATATTACCCGACTATCCATTTCAAAATATTTGAAGGGAAATTTGGGTCACACCTCTACTTGGGTACAAATACTACTTGTTACTAACAACACTACTGACTAGACCACAGCTGATTGGAACAAATAAATGAAATAAAATAAACAGCATACTGAGTAGAACAGCTATATTCCAGCAATATCCAGTTTATACCCACCTTCTCTTGAATTTGCTCAAACCAGTAATCGAAAGGTTCATCATTTCGAATCCGAGAAAGAAGTTTCGAAATAACCGCTTCTTCCAACGGTACTCGTGTGATCGCCTGCTTTAGGATTATTTTACAACGCGTTTAAGCTCAAAAAGATCGGCAGACACAGATTTAAAACAACAAATCTAACGCTGCTAAATAGCAATGATAAAAAACCATCGGATGAAAACGTACTTCCTGGGAAAGGTACTGCTGAAACATGAACTGTGCCGCTTCTTTGATTGTTTCGAGGACTTCATCTCCTACCGTCTCACCATTTGACAATGTTTTCAGTTGATGTTCCACAGATACTTTAAAACCCTAAAATAGACCTCATCAGAACATGACGTTTCAATTTTCACTTCATAAGTAAATAAAGTTTGCAATTGTAGAACTGCTTCGGCACTTTAGTATAAGCGGGACGATACAACGTGTCAACGGAACGGGTTAACATCAACACTCCTAATCTCTTTTCTTAACGGACAGATAGCCCAGTAGTAGTGATTCCTGTCATCGCGAGCATGACGCCTCTCCCTCCGCGACCGGGAAATTGCTACCGGACTTGTGCGGAAATCTCGACAATCCAACTGGGAGCGCTCTAGCCTGGCTATTCCAAGACTTCAGGGAGAATCGACTCGAAGAGCATTCTACGACATGTAAGATGAGATTAAAATCGTCAAGGCAGCAGCTGAAGCCAGTCGTAAAAGTTGGAGGTTCCTGTTGGATGATGCATGCGAGGGATCCACAGAGTGGACGTGAGAGCGAATCGTATAAAATGAAATAAAATAAGCAAATAATCCCTTTTCTTTTACCTCAATAGCGAGATAGAGGTCGATGTAATTCTGTCCGCCAACTGTTTGAAGATAATCGATGAAATACGAAACAGCAACAGCATTGGTAAGAATCACGTGAAGAGGAAGCTGAACCAATCCATCCTCATTTGATGAGAGCGCACGAACCTGCGAACTTCAAAAGACTAGGAAGGCATTCAAGCATGCCTAGAAGATTAACGAATATAAACAAAGCTGAAGTGATGAATAAACTTCAAGTTCAAAACCCTTATGTGGTTTTTAAATTGCTAAACGAACAGGATGTTAAAAATCAAGATATAAGGCTGGTGCAAAAGGAACTGTGGACCTTACCATCACCAAGTTTACAACCACATTTTGTAATAAACATTCGATGCTGTCATTGGTACTCTCTAGCATTCTAAAATAATTCCTTCCTTTCCACGTAAACTTTTCCTAAAGCCGATCTACAATTATTTTAGATCAGCTGACGCACTCAAATCATGAAAAATAGCATCGTTTTCCTCAATGAGCTCAAAGATGGACATAAAGTAATGGTATCAACCAGATATTTCATAAAACACGGATCATTAAAAGGTTTTGGAACGCTAAATACGAAGATGGCTGTTAAGATTTCGTACCGGAAATGTAAGCATTCGTGACGAAGAGGATCGCAGACTCCTACCACCAGATGACGACGAACCATTTAAACCCATTAACCGAAGCTACCCACCAAAAACTACTTAACGAGCTGTGGAAAAATCTAACATTCATAATTTGTCGTACTTCATTCTAAACATATTGAAAGGGTGGAAAAGAACGATAGTTAGGTGCCTCCTCAACTCAGCAAAGGGTAGTGAGATTGTCGTCGCAAAGTCTGTTCTGTGCTTCTTCTACCAGAAAAGAACATATTTTTGATCGTACTGAGATGTACGATGAGAAGTGTATCTTACAGGACAATAAACGACATTCGACACGGAAGATGGAATCAAGAAGATGGGACTTCTACACACTTTTTAAAGCCAAATTTCATTTTTTGTGATTTTTTGGTTTCCTGCAAGTGGAATTACCTAATAAAACGCTTTAAGCCTTGGTAAAACGATTACAATAGAAAAGTACCAAAGAAATCTTGTAAGAATTAAGGCATATCGGTGTGGCCACGGACGATAACCATTTTGTATTACTATGCTTGACTACACATTAACAACTTCAGAAGTTGAACGAGTTGAGCTCTGAAACCCTTCTAAACGAACACATTCATCGGACCTCTCGTTAGTCGAGTGCGTTAGTCATGTCGATAGTACTAAGAAAAACCTTCAGCAGCTAAACCGCTTCCGAAATTGCTTTCGAGTAAATCGCAGTTTCCAGAACTGCGGTACTCTTAGCTGGCGTTACCAAAAAAGATAAATTTGTACTGCAACGGCAAAAATGAATAGGTCCTTATAGCCAGTTTGTTGGTTACTGTAGTTATGTTTTAGTTTACCCATAGATTTTCGAAGATACGGTTCTAAACATGGAAAATGTTTTGCACTAACCTAAAACTACTCTCGAGCCAAAAGCAAGGATTCGTTATCACCTTGGTCAAACACAAAACAGATGTAATAGCCAAAATCCGTTATGGCAACAAGAGGAAGAGGAAATAGAATCATCGGGCTTCCTTATTAAGAAAAATTCGATTGTCAAAAAAATTTCGTATACATAAAAAAGGTGTGAGGTCTTACCACGTCCAATCCACCGCTGTCTACTGTATTATTTGTTAGAATGACTAGCTTTTTTCTAATCAAACTGTCCACGTAATCAAGGCTGCCAAGTTGTTGTTTGACAAATGTTCCTGAAAAAGAGTGTGATCAGAAACGCGAGTATCAAGCTCAAATCCGAATTCAATGCGGTATGAGAAAAGTGGAAACATTTCAATGTGACTAAATATTAATGAAGAAAGCAGTAATATTTCAATATAAACGATTTCACTATGCACGATATGTAGCCAAAAATTAAAAGTGTTAAAAAGGAAAAGGATACAGCTCTCGGCGTTGATCGATCTCAGAGGGATGCGCCATGCATTCAGCTTCATTAAACATCGCATGGAGGTGACCGAATATATATCTGGCCTTTACAATGACTCGCAGAGGCCTACTGATGTATCGAGCCAGTGCTGCTATCCTTCCAGACAAGTCTGGTACCAATTTGCCAACCCCAGAGGGATGTAAGGCTTGGTGGGCCTGGGCGTAGGGATCGATCCCATGTGTATTGCAAGGCGCCTCCGACCACTACACAAAAAAGTGTTAAGGTAATAAAATAATAATAAAAACAACAGTTCGATTACAACCATAATAACGCCGAGATACTAGCAAAACTCCGGACTGCTGGTGTGTGCGGTGGGGACGGAACGCGCTATTACCCTTTACGGAGGCTAACTCGTTCACCGCCACATGCGAGTCCTCCGCTTTCCCTTTCTTTCAGCCGTGTTATTGATTATATACCAACGGGGCAAGGGAGTATTTCGAGAATCAATTAATAGTTTTTGGAGCTTTCAAACTGGTAACGAAACCTAACGAAAACCCTAAATTAAGCAATGGTGCTATAAAATGCAAACCTTGATCACCACCAGAATCCTTCCCACGAAGTACCTGCCTCTCACTTTGAACCGACTTGTATATTGCCTCCAATTCATCAATAGAATTACTATTTTCCAAGCACACAATGAAATCATCCGGCCGTGGAGAAATTTCGCTTAGCTGAAAAAGATTTTATCACAATGGCATCAAAAAATCGGACAATTAAACGTAACATACAAGCCAAATCATTGTTTGATTCATTTCGTCCGGTTCGGAAAAGTGGTCAAGCAGTGGTACGATAAGTCGACGTACTAAAAAGTGGGAGTTTCAAAGTGTAGCGCTCGACACTACGCTAATTTTAACTTTTCGAAAAAAGGAAAAGAACCTTCAGTGACAAAAAAAATGAGCAAAAACTTGCCAATAACTTCCCGGAGTAAAAATCTAAGTGGTCTGCATCGAAAGTCTTCAGGAGGCATAATAAGGTATAAAACAATATCAACGACATCGTGAAGGTATGCTAAACACTGATAGTTAATTAATTAATTGATGGGATAGTTGGAATGGAAAAGAAGATTAGACACATTTTACCGTTTTCATAATTAGGAGTAGTGCACAAAAGATCCCTACAAAGCGTTTTTTCCATCTCTAACTCGTAGTCAAAGAAATGGCTAAGAAGGTCATTCTCGGTGGCTAGCATTCCTCCTAAAGAAAGTTGTAAGCATACCTTAAAAAACAAGTATAAAACATCGCTGTGAAGGTGGCTGCCATTCAAAACAATATTTTCCCTTTCAACAATGCATAAAAGGTTTTCTACCATCCAAAAATTTACACTAAACTCTTTCAATCCATTAGTTTATCAAGTGAAGTAATGAACAGCTTTCGCTAAGGCGCACTGAAGAATTAAAAATCAAAGCACAGAAGAGGTTCGAAGCCCTAAATGCCATAAAATACTCAAAATTTCAAACAACCTTTCTTTCTCATGGATTTGTACTTTTCACTAGCCATACGATAGAGCCGAAGATGTGAAGCAAAGTCGTCAGCTACATGCCGTGTAACGAAAGGAACCCAATCCACTTGACGCATACTGAAACCCAACTCCCTCTTCCTTTGCAGATAATGCGGCACATATAGAAACTAAAGCTAAGACAACTGAATGGAAGCCATTAATGATGTTATGTCAATTAAGTGAGAGACTGCTATCAGAAGTGCACCTAATAAGCAAGAAGAAATCGTGAAACAGAAGGAATTCCTAGACCAGGTAGGGTTTCCGGCAGGAAAAGATCTCAGCAGTAGTATGGATATGACTTCAAAGTCTTACGGCTACCATTTCTTACATACAACTAGAACTGACCATTGTGAAAGAGATGCAACAGATCGACGAGCTGTCCTTAGTAAACTTTCTTTGAAAAGTTCATCATCGGTTAATTTCTTATACCAAGAATCCACATAATCACGCATCACATAGTTCAGCATCTAAATAGCCTGTCACATCATGATTGAAAACACAACATGAATAAATCGTTTCACTAGTTCTTCATCCTCCAAACGATTTACCGCCTCATCGTGATTGGGTAGTGTTCCTGGGTGTCGGGTTGCAATGTGCAGCGGAGAGATTCATCCACCAGCAGTCTCCCAAGCTGAGAAGGAGTCTGGTGTTTCCATGAGGAAGCCCAGATAAGAGTAACAAATCTCCCTCTGATTAACAAGGGTGGAGACTGCTCATGGTGGTGACGCCCTGGGTCAGACTTCGGCCAGACTGAGCTTGGGACTCCAGGGAACCACAATGGCCAAACCAGCAAAACTCCGAAAAGATGGAAATCATGCTGAGACCCGCACAACCAGTGAGGAGGGTCATCCAACCATCCAAGTATTAGTTATTCATAAATTCCTTAAAAATATTGGAGTGATCTCTGTAGTGCTTATTTGACGGGGATTCACTTTTTTTTTTTTTACAAATCTGGGTTACTACGAAGACAAAAACTTCAGAATAAAAAAGTTATAGTCAAAAATAAAACAAAACATATTTGCCTTGTGTCCTTATGATATTGATTTGGACAACAATGAAGAACACAAGTCTCCAAGAAAACTATAAACAAAGGCCAAACAGAAGGAAATCCAGAAGTATATGCACCTGTTCAAGAACAGAATCCATGGCCGGAAAATTGGTCATTGAATGAATTTGTTCGTACATTGAGTTGTTGTTGAAACGATGTCTATTCTTCAAAAAGACACTGATTCCTGGCCTGAACTTTAAGTCTCTGAGTCTAATGAAATCCGATGTGAACTGCTTCGATTTCTCTGCTCCATGATAGTAAATCGTGTAGCAAAACCTAAACAGTGATAGTAAGAAACCGATAAGAAGAAAATATTGACATTCACTTACTATTATTACTTATACTTATTGCTTATTAATGCGTGCGTGAAGCGCAGTCGCTAGAAGCGCCTTGAAATAGATGAAGGGACCCTAGCGTCACCTGCCTACCAAGCCTTTTATCTCTTCGGAGCCAGCAAAATGGTATGGTACCCGACTAGTCTGGGAGAATATCAGCACTGGCTCTATATAGATCGGTAGGCCATGACGAGACAGTGGAAAGGCCAGATATGAATTTAATCACGATGCCATGAATGAAGTGGAATGTATGGCGCATCTCTCAGGGAATGATCAACTCCGAGAACTTTATCCTTTATCCTTTATTATTTATTACTCATTAACAGCCTGATAATGAATTAGGGATATTTCCTGAACATTAAATATAGACATTGTTCTAAGGGCAGGCCGTGTATAAATAAAGGGCTAAGTATCTACTATACTTCTTGAATAATGTGGTAAAAATAAGTTGAAAAACGGCACTTACCCGCATAGAAAACAAGCTATACAAATAAAAAAGACGACTAATCCATGGAATCCGAATGTTCCAAGAAATAAAGCAATCCCGAGTACGACATAGAATGAAGATGACAAGGAAATCATCCTTTTTACACGAAGATGAGGATTAATAGATGAATAAATTACATTAGATACAGGATAACTGAAACTTAGACTTTACATTATCAAGGAAACTTCAAGAATAAGTGTCCCAAAGAGGCCAGAAATCCACCAACTCCAGAAAGCAGTTACTGAAAAGTGTGAACAACTATGTGTTTATGTACTCAGCTGGTTCAACATTAAATGTGAGACCACGGGAGGAGGAAAGAGAGGGATCCTGTCTTTCATCACTTTAAACAGATTTTGTCACAACGGGAAGAGAGGAATCCTGTCTTTCATCACTTTAAACATATTTTGTCACAACGGGAAGAGAGGAATCCTGTCTTTCATCACTCTAAAAAGATTTTATCAAACTGATTCACAATGTTTAGGAACCAAATAACAGCAGGAAGAAGGAACATTTATGTAAATGTTAAACACAGAGACGAATCATACCTTGATATTAAAATATGCCCCCATCAAAAATTTAAAGCTGGAAAGTGGACGAGATCAATCTTAAGGGATAACATTGTCAGGCTTAAAAGCTCTCAAAAGATATTAGTCTACTGAATGCTTCTATCCCTCATTGAAAGAAAGAAGATCGAGCGTCCTCGGACCTAAATGATCACCTTACGGAGCCGAATAACGCGATTACGCCTATTAGTGTGTGGTTGCCGCGTTGAACGGCGCCTAACTCCCTGCTGTTGCCACGTGAGTCATACATTACTCATACCGTCCATTATGTCCACCGATGTATGAGTTATGTCCCACATTGTCAAAAATGTGTTACGTTGTTGAACACGAGTGGCATTAGTTAGTTAGACGGGCTCGAATAACCTCACACTTGTCCATATTGCATTTCAGTGTTGTCAATTGAGTTCCTCCACTTGAGAAGCACTACTTATGATGTTAACTTTTTATTTACAGTCTGCTACAATTTTTCACGGCAGGGTATTATGTGCGGTACAACAACAATGGTGCTGAGATGTTTGCAAAACCCAGTACAGCTGGTGTCTGCGCTGGAAATCGAAAACGCTGTTGCCATTTCCGGGTGCTAGCGCGTTCACCACCACACCATGCGTGTCCTTCGTTTCGCCTTTCTCTCGGCTGGTTTTATTTCTACCAGTGCCATCAGCAATCACCCATCAACTGGGTTGATCTGGGGAACACAAATCGGCTTTGAACTCGGTATTATATCAAACCACTATATCAAACAAGTATCATACTTCTGTTTAGTTGTTTAAATTTAGATTTGTATGATTTGATGGCGCGGGTGGCACAGTGGTTGGAGGCACCACTGTGACTCACACGTGGAATCGATCTCCGCGCCCATGGCACGCGAACCCTTCCATCCCTCCGGGATCGGTAAATTGGTACCAGGCTTGTCTGGGAGGATAGCTGCACTGTCTCGATACATCAGTAGGCCACCGCGAGTCATTGTAAAGGTCAGATATATATTCAATCACCTCCAACGATACTTATTGAAGTCGAATGCATGGCGCATCCCTCATGGATTGATCAACGCCGAGAGCTTTATCCTTTATCCTTTATTTATATGATTTGATAACTGGAACAGTAGCGTCATTGAATTTCACTTTTGGCATAAGCTAGATGCTGGATTCCCTCACTATCCTGCATGAGGCGACTGAATCCAAGTAATATTTCTAAGGGTGAAAGCAGAACTTTATATGACAAGAAGACTGTATTTTGTACTAGAGTAGGCAAAATTTTACTATCTAACCCAACTAATGGAATATTCCTGAGCCATTCTTGTCGAGAGATTTAGCGCTAGAAGGAAAGAGTATGTAATGAGCGAATGAATACCGCCGACAAAGGCACGTTCTATAGTATGTAAATGTAAGGGAATCTCCTAATCTAATAAGCTGCTAAGGGAAAAAAACCCATGAGAGATAAATTGCCGTAATTATACTAAGAAATAAGGCTCACCATCTGCCTACTGATGTAGTAAAGTTCATCGCAATCGCCTTGCTTCACAGAGGAAAACTAACACTGCTAATATTATTGATTAGGAGAAGGAATACCTAGCTAATGTAATTAACGAAAGAGGAGAACAGATGAGCCTCGATAAAACTTATCCTGGAAGGAAGCAATACTCATAAACCTGCTGTCAGATGATCTATAGAACTTTTAGATCCTTCTACCTTCAGTGTTTTGTAAGACTGCGAAAGAACTAAAACTAGAACTGGAAGAAAACTAGAAGAACTACAAGGAACTATAAAACAGAAGTTCTTGAGATCTACAGTCGAATTGATGAGTTGGAGAAGAAAACAGGATAACTCGAGTGAGCTTACATAAGCCGAGGAAAAAGCCTTAGGAAATGTGCTATAAGGAAAAGTTCGAGGTGCTATTACTACAACAAAAGAAATCCACCTATCAATAAAGAGTATTATCAAGGTCGATCCTTTAGTAAAACGATGACATTTCTTGCAAAGCTTAGCGAAGCCTAGGTAACGCAACATTTTCCGAACTGAAATTTCTTTCACGCCAGTGTTAAAGTGGCTTTTTCTGTCTTTAATCGTCCATTGTAACATACTTAATCTTGGGGTGACTATTTCTGGAATGAAGTATTTTCAGGAAACTGACGAAATGCGTCACAAAGTGGAATTACTGTAATTGTTATCCATCAACCGAGAAGCTGCTTTATGCTTGACACTAGGCATGCTGTTGCTTCACAAGAAGGGTTTCCATAAGCTGATCGAAATAGTGTACGAAATAGCTTATTCGTTTTCCTGACTAGACCTATCACACTAATGGCTAAGCAGTTCTTCAGGCATGTAGACATCTTCCTTAGCGAGGAAATATAGAGGTAGTCCGTGAGAGTTTCGACAATCTTCGCTTCTTTGGATTTCTTTGGATTATTCAGCTTATACGAGGTTGTTATACAGGTTTTATTCTGCCAACGTCTTGACGCCTTCGTCTTTATCAGAACTGATGGTTCGAGTCGATGGTCCACTGTCGTTCGTCTTCTCGAGATCTTTAGCACAATCTTCACTCTTGTTGTGCAGACGGGATTTTTAAGCTTGTAACTTACTTGGCTACTTTGATGGTCCTTCGTCACCGCTAGTGCGGACTCCAGCTCGAGTTCCATTCGTTTGTCATGCCGGAGTCGTCCATGGTGGTCGTCTGCTACGAACGTGATGGCTTTCACGAAAGCTTATAATATTTTAGCCAAAATGTATTGATTGTAAAAATCTTTAAAAAGTCCACTTTTTTAAGCTTGTCAATTTAAAAAGTGGATATTAAAGCCCGCTTTTAAGAAAGGCACTTTTAAAATTAATTAGTTTAACGTAGAAGGCTTTAAGATAAAATTTGCTAAGGTCATTGTTGAGCAATCAGGCATACTGTCGAATTCACAACGTAGAAACCACTTTTTATTCCACATGACCTGTTTTTACGTCTATTTTTCGGATCCTAGCAGTACTCACGTTGGATTCGTTTCCACTCATCTATCATTCACGACGCTCTCCCAACTTCTATGTGTGGTTTCGGCTGCTACTTGAGGATTTCTATTTCATCTTGAATGTTGTAGAATGCTGGTCGAGCAATTCTCCCTGGAGTCCTGAGGTAGCCGGGCTGCAACTTTCCCAGTTGCATTGCAGAAACTGAACTTTTCCCAGGAAAGCTCTGCACAAATTTTGCAACCACAAAGGGATGAGAAGCTTGGTGGGCCAGGGCGGGATTGAGCCAGTACCGCGCTCGTGATGATCAGCATCGTTACCACTGCGCCAACCGCTCTTTATAGAGACCATTATGCGGGAAAAGGTGGGATGTGAAATAGTTCGGTGATGATGCTTATCTTGATGATCAAATAATGCCAATCCTTCAATGAACAAAGACTGATTTTGAATCTTTATTTAGGGCATAATACTTCTGAAGGTTTAACTTTATTCTTACACCATACAAGAAGAAAAAGGAGCTGAATTTCAGGATACTCCAATACCACATTAACAAATGTCGTAGGTGAGACCATCTTTCGTAAATCATAAAATCATAGAGCTCTCGACGTTGATCTATCCCTGAGGGATGCGTCATGTACTCGATTTCATTAAGCATCGTTGGAGGTGACTGAATTCATATCTGGCTTTTACAATGACTCGGGTGGCCTACCGATGTATCGAGACAGTGCTGCTATCTTCCCAGACAAGTCTGGTACCAATTTTCCGATCCCGGAGGGATGGAGGGGTTGATGAGCCTGAAAAGCACGGTCGATCCCATGTGTATTGTAGGGTGCCTCTTAGCCCTGCGCTACACGCGCCCCTTCATCTTTCGTGGTATACTCATATAGAATCACGCAACTTCCGTCAGGAATATCTATGACGATGATCACCGACATTCCATTAGGTATTACATGATGTATAGAAAAAAATTTATAGAAAACCCATATCCATAAACATGTTACATGAATCCTGAAAGATGCATTTCCCATTCTAATCCGGACTAATCAATCTGAATCCCATCCTGCTGGGATTAGGAAATAGAAATAGCTAGCAGACATTTCTGAGGACCTCCTTCGATTCACAAAGGCCGGCGACTGCATGTGATGGAGACCTAGTAACCCCCTAGTACGACTATCCCAGGATCCCAGCGAGAACTGATTGGGCCGGCATGGAACAATGAAGGATAGTAAATTCCTTAAGCATCAAGCAAACCTACTGACAGACCCGAAGACCGTGAATACAGGATAGTTGGGAACGAATCGAATCAAAGAAATGCTACGATTCTCGCAGCATGTAATGTCGACCCCTGGGAACGAAAAGGGTCAAGGAAATTTCGCAATTCACTGCCTTACCGCCCATTTAGTAATTGTAATACTCAAAGACTATGACAAGTTATCGGTTTTGGCGCTCCAGTGGTGCGACCACCACCACTGCGGGCAGCCTTGCGAGCGTCCGTTGATTCGAATTCGTCTTTGGGACAGTGAGCATTCTCTTCCTTCTTCTTGGACCCTCGTTTGTTTCTTTCTTTGTATCTTGGAGGTTCATTGTATTAGTAGTTATGTAATGTGGAACGGGATAACTTTCTGTCTGCTGCTCATTATTTTTTTCACGGTAGGGTATTATGTGGTCAGGTACTCAGCCTACTGTGTTCAATGCAGCTTTGTGCTATCCACATCATTCCCGCTGACGGATGATTCCTGATGGCACCGTTAGGTAGAAAACTAATTGAGAGAAAGGCAAACCAAGGGCCTCATTGGTACACTGGGTAACTCGTGGACCCTGGAAAGGTAACCGCGGTTCGATCTGGCCTGAGGTCCAGGTTTTGCAAATGTCTCAGCATCATTGTGCTTGGAACGGTATACTTTGCTTTGGCTACCTTGTTTTTCTCTTTACATCATAGAATTTCCTAACTGCCGATTTTTTTGCACTTAAGCGCATGTTGTCAAATACTTTGTGTAAATACACAACACAAGATCACTAACCTTTTACAATCGCCATTTCATTTGCTCCTTGTAGCCGTATATTATACGAATATAAGTGTCCGGTTGAAAGCAATTCATTATTCTCTATATTAAAGCCATGAAGTATCTGCAGGAAGATTCTTCCTTCACAAAGGAATGCATATGGGCCTTAATAGGTTTTCTAATTAGCTGGTATGTTGTTGATTTGACAGTGTTTTCTCCGGGAGTCTCGGATAAACCCTACCAGATCTTCCTACATCTGGCATTGTTTTTATCCCTTGGCTAGATTTCCACATGCAAATTTCGTAGGCGGAGGGTAACTGACCTTGATGAGAGATGAAGCATAAACCTCCGCTGATATACATTGCAGTCCGATGCCAGAGATATTGGACGCTGCTTAGGATAAGGTTTTAATAATGTGTGGTCAATTGGAAAGTTTTCTGTGGTACTGCTTTTTGCACTGTATTGCACAGTTCAGGTATAGTATGTGAGATTTAATGTGGAATGATAATTGAGGCTACGTGGGGAACGGAAAAGGACATGTATTTCATCTTTATTAAGGAAGTTTATTCTGATTACCTGTGCATGTGTGGTGGTTAGAAGTGCCGTGCAATACACATGTGTTCGATCCTGCGCTTTATGCTCACCAAGCCTTTTATCCTTCCAGGATCGGCAAATTGGTACCAGAGTTGTTTGTCAGGATAGCAGCACTGACTCGTTACATCGGTAGGTCACCGAGAGTTATTGACTAGGCCAGATATGCATTGCCTTCCTTTCTTTCCCATCTGTATAACGATACCTGATGAAGTCGAATGCATGGCGTATCCGCGAGGGTGGGATCAACGCCGAAAGCTTTATCGTTTTTTTATTCCTGCATATGATGGTTTTATGTGGTCATAGAAGAAGTTAAAACGAGTTACATCCGTTTTTAGAGTAAGCATTTTCGTTTTTATGATGACGAGGTTTTTGTAGAGAACATTTGGAGCTTATTTCTGCCTTTGAAGTCTGTGGAGATTTCACTGCAACATAGTGCGTGTGTCTAGTAAGTTCAAACCATCCTTCTTGAATAACTGGCTCTTTAAGGCTATTACGACAACAGGTTTTAAGCTATGGCTGATACCGCTATGCCATGTCCTACTACTGCATGGACTTTTGCCAAGCTCTTCTCAGTAGTAGGGATACTAACCTTTTATTCTGCTATAACGTTTACAGGTTTTGTTACTGAGTAACACTAACAGTGTCCTTCACGCTTTTTGAAGCGTTTTTGGGTTTCATTCAGTCCTCATATTGTGTCACTTGTACCATTTTTTTAAAAAGAATAATTGTCGATGATTATTTGCAACAGGGTAACGGACTGTACTAAGTACTGCTTCACATACTGACAGAGAGTTGTTTAGTGCAAAAATAATTCAGTTTTAGTGCCTCGGCATATGGTTTTTCAGTGTTAGAAACTTCCACATAACTGCTGGAATTCATATCTTCATGGATCTTCATCTCTGATTTTGATCGATTTGGTTTTGAAACAGCGGAATGAAACACTTCACCTAGGGTTTCTTCAGAGTCTAGGCATAGGTTTCTGTAGTTGCTTGTTTTGGTGAGTTGATAACTGAGGTTGACACTTTAACTCATTTGCAGCATTGCTTACATTAAACCTTAAGGTCTACCGGAAACGAGTCACGAGTTACAGGGTTTATGAAACGGGAGAACTCTACTTTGTGGTTGTAACCAGCGTTTGGTATATTAGTAGCTACGACAAAGGTGATTGAAAGGGTTGTAGTAGCTGTAGGCAGGTGTAGCATAGCATCGAGAGAAAATCGCAAGCCTGGACGACCAATTTAAGAGGCTTTCGAAAGGCACGGATCTAGCTTTATCTCGTTTCTTCTAACCCTTGTGTTAGCACCACCGTAAATATTGGCATATTTGAGTCGATTTGTTCGTGAACACTATATACAGTGGACTCTGCCCACTGATAGGACTAGTTCAGCCTTTGAATGCTCACTTAGCATGAATTCACTAAGTTGACAGGCCTCCTGAATGACGAAATTCAGAGGATTTTCGAGAATATTGATGTTAAGGAGTCCAACTTTGTGTATCTCCTTATCTCTGCGTATCGTCTGTTCTTGACAAGCTGTGTAGAATGAAACCGTTACTAGAATTACATAGAAATGGAGATTGTTTTAATGTTCTTTATTCTAGTATTCGTGATTAGCTTGATTCCTTTAACTCTCTAGGTTCAACAGGTTTTATTTCTCTGATAAGCCTGCTATTCTCATGGTGGTTTTGTATATCGTTTTTGAAGACCCTTCTAGAAAATCCGGTAAAATATATCTATTTAAGAAATGACATCGGTCGGTGTACCAATCAAGATCTTGCATGAAGCTGAAGGACATGTGGTCACGCTTGAAACTGTTACAGGTATGTTTACCTTTTCCAAAGCTAGTGTTGTGACTGGTTGAATACTATGGATCTGAAAGCGAGTTTAATAGATAGCTTAGCAATTTGGTCTTTTTCTTAGCTTAAGTTGTTTATTTTAGTAATAACTGCGCCCGATATTTTTTCGAAAACGCTGAACAGAGAGTACTTAACATTTTCCTTGTTTTTATCCTTTTGAGTTTTAATTTTCAAGGTGAAGTATATCGTGGTAAACTTCTTGAAGCCGAAGACAATATGAATTGTCAAATGGCCGAAGTTTGTGTAACTTTTCGAGACGGGCGAACTCATCAACTTGATAATGTTTTTGTAAGAGGAAACAAGGTGAGGTTCTTGAAAATCACTACATTTTGCGTTTAAAACTTATAATCTCCGTGTAATTTTTGAGGAGAAAATCTTAGTAAGAGGTAATCCTAAAGAAGTAGACTTACTCTCTTCCAGATTCGCTTTATGATCCTTCCGGACATGCTTAAAAATGCTCCAATGTTCAAAAATATCGGACGTGCACAGAAGGTAGATGCAGTCCCCTGTTTGATTTCTTCTTACCATTGTACTTATTGGCATAAAGAAACGCATTTGTTAACTATAATTTCACAAACACCTTAGGGAGCTATTGGTATGGGTATGGGTGGCGACACTCGAGGAAGTGGTCGAGGTGCTAGAGGAACATCGTTTCGCGCAAGGTATGTGATGTGTTTTGTCTGTTTCTGACGACTGTTCGTCTAAAAGAGTAAGTTCATAGGTTACTTTATATTCTTTTTGAGCAAAAATTTTTGAAACACCCAAGCAAACAAACCCTTCAACCTTCAAACGCAAGAATTTTTTATTCTTGTTTCCCATGTTTGCTCATCAAGAAGACAAAGAATTATTTGATCAATGCCGGGATTAATGGGAATTCGCTCGTGAAAATTACTTCATAGGTTACTATTGCTTTACATATGAAATGCAGGATCTTGAGTCCATATTTATCTTTTCACAGACTTGTAATGATTAACTGGTAAGCTAGAACTGAAGAAATTTGAAGTACTTACAGTTCTACCATTTCTAAAGTCTATTATGGTATCTTGAAATCCTATATATGTTTTCACTACCAGCAACAGAATTCCTTCCATGGATTGTTATGTATCTTTCCTTTAGTTACTGATCAGCTTTCGTTGAAATAATTTTAAGTTCACGTTAAGTGCCTATTTGCTTTTCTTTCAGTCCTTTTATTGCCCTAATTGTATTTCTCACTAATCGAGGTAAGCTCAACGATATAAACAAATGCTGACTATACCAGGTTTGGTTTGAGAACTGGACAGTCACTGTTTCCTTGTTATGTTGTTGTTTACCTACAGTGATAATTCTAGGGCTGGCGGAATAGCTCGGGGAGGAGCTCGTGGCGCAGTTCGTGGAGTCCCTGCAGGCTTCCGTGGCTAACTTAGTCGCTGCTAGCACAAGGCTATTTGGAACATTTTCCTTTGCTGATTTGTCGATTGCATCATTGTGTCCATCGACGATCTCCGATGATTTGTTGTTTTTGTTTCTTTTACATTTCATTTTATGTTGTTAATGGTTTTTTCCGAGAACGTACTTCTCCATTCAATATTGTACTGTACATTGAAAAAATCGGAAGGTAGCGTCTTGTAACACGAATGTTTCGAAATAAACCTGCAAAATTGTTGGCTCAGTTGAGCAACTATAGCTAAACTGAGACCTATCCAATATGAAAATATTCTATGCTTGCTCTTATGCCGTTAATTCTTTCTGGTCCTATGGTTCTTGTAGACGGAATTTGCGGCATTCATTTTATCGGAAGACCTGGTCTACGTACTCCACTTCTTAGGGTAGGCACTTGATAAGTTCATGAATACGAACACGGAGTTTCTGAGTCTGATTAAATTGTTGAAAATCGTGCACTAGTTTGGTTTTGCTCTTCTTAAACGCAATATGAGGAATTTCCCAGACCATCTTATGTTAACCGTTCTCACAGCCATCAGTAACTTTAAGGTGTTTTGTGTTGATGTTGCTTTCATTTATTTCGTTGCAGGTTTATGCTGTATATCTTCATCAGTGGATTTTGGAATTCTTGCCTGCAAGTCAATGTTGGCATCAGAATTTGCCAAGCAGTGTAGTCTGCCCTCACCTAGCTGATACAGTGTTAACGCTAAGTACTGTGGAATCCTAGCGACTTTGCGGACTTCTACGTAAAAGAGCACTTAGTAGAGTGCCCAGGATCGACTTTCTATTAACCTCGGCATTGGATTATAAATGTGTGCACAAGTAGAGAACTAAAGCAGGAATCGCACGACTTGGCTCGGCAAATAGCCACCTCCAATGGCTTCGAAATTGTTACCAAGCGAGATAAGTTTAGAAGGAGAGCGGCGCTCCAAAACGAACGGTTTGACCTAAACAGTCCCGGTTATCTTGCCCTTCATTAGCGATGAAGTAAGTGTAGCGATGAAGCGGTGCTTAAGAAGGGTAGATCTAGAGGAATCGGTTGCGATAATTGAAATACCACCGAATATTCTTCGTCTCCAGTTAGTTCGTAACTGCATATACGACCGTCTATGTGAAGCAGAATTGCGTAATCTGCCCTTATGGCAGGGACGGTGATTGCATGACCTCAGGTACGTCATACCTGATCTCTTGTGGTACTTGCGGAGACGAAACGGGCAGACCTTTATGTATCCGCATAAAAGAGCACCTAGATGGCAAACGAAAAGAAAGACAAGGGACGCCACCAGGGACGCATAGGATACAAGAGCATATTGAGACGATTTTGACATAAGTCTCTATCCTCGCACGGGATCCTAAAACAACAACGCGCAAACTCCTTGAGGTTTTTTGGATAAATGCCAAAAATCCCACAATGAGTAGCAGGGAGGAATGCCCCGAGATCACACGTGATCTCACCCCGTACCTTCGTATCGGTTGTTGACGTTGGGAGGTGCAGTCGACAACCATATGCGACTCTGAGCAGCTGTTCTTCGTAGGTGGAAGACAGATGAAAAAAGCGGTGGTTTTCTTTCGAGAAGCCGTAGATCTTGTAATTGTCGTGCATATTTTCATCTCTTTGTTTGTGCTGTTAAAGGGTTTGAGCTAGTAAGTTGCGTATCAGTGTACCCTTCCAGGCTCTGAAGAAGGTGATTCTGCCAAAACATCAGCTACCGTTGTGTTGTATGTGTGTTATTGCATGGAAGTAAACGTGTGCTGAATAACAACCTTGCGAATACAGAGAGAAAACGACGACTTAGTAGAGTGTTAGTCTGCAACGATTAAGGCAGAACATTTGGATTGCAGATTGATTGCAGGTTCATCCAGATCCGTTCACCAGAACCTTGGACCCGCATAAGTATTCGGCACTTTCTAGCCTTATAAATCATATTGTATCACAGCTGTTGAATGAAAATCCCTAATATTCGTGTTATTTGGTCCTAAATCTGAAAGGAAAAGAGGCATTCGGAAGGACGCTATTTTGATGAGGCTTTCTATACTAAACGATGGTTATTGTAGGACCTCTAGACAGTTTTATATGTGCAGTTGAAAGTATTAACGTGCTTCCACTAGTATTTTTCATTATGGTCAATTCGGAGGGAAAAATCTTAAGAAATGGAAGTGCGAAAAGTAGAAGAATCACGTGTAGCATGCGTGTTCAGTTTACTTTTCCCAAAAAGTGCTATTGACGATTCGTTAAATATACAACGCAACAGAATCTGGATGCAAGTTTCTAACGTCTCTTTGGTGATGCTTAGTAAACTTCAGAGCTCTTCGTTTAGTTAGGGAGAGATTGTTTGGCGCAGGTTCGGTGAAATGTCATAGTCTTTTCCCGTATCGTCGTATTACAGGCGGTCAGGAAGGTTTCCAGACTGGGCTCGGCTGGCCCAGTTACTTACTGACTGAACAGTTTGACGTGTGTATCTGATTTTTTATAACGTTAATAGTTGCAGTTGCGAAGACGACTACACGACGTATGCGGTCTTCCCGGGGTACAGTCACCGAGTATTGGACGTCGAATTGCGAATACTACGCACTTGTCTACGAAGCCGACAAAACCAGATGTTCGCCAAGTGGAAGAAGTGCGAGACGAAGGAAAACTTTTGTGCTCAATATTTGGAGGTCCACCTCTGGAGGAGAATAGTGGGCGGGTCAGTGTTGATTTGCAACTCTATTAGGTCTAATGCTAAAATAATTTTGCGGAAAAAATTCGAAGACCTTTTGAGTAGATCGCATAACACGGCTTCAAGAGCGCAGAACCCGCTAACGAACATCAAACAGGTCACAGTAGGATAAATAATGTGCAAGGAAATTCATGGCTAACCGTGTTAGAAAGCATGACTTTCCCTGACCGTGCGCGCTCGTTATTAGAATTGGGACCAAGTTTCTCACCATCTGAACCCATTTCTAAGATAACCTTGCGTAGGGTCGCATGTGGTTTACATGAACTTCAAGATAGACTCCGCAAAAAAGCTAGAGATGAAGCGCTAAATAGGTGCGAACAACATCAAGTGGGGGGCCTACCAATAGCACCATTTCCCCCGACGTTCTTTAGACAACAAGAGCCCAATAATGAAGTTGATGTTAAATTTCGGATGTTTGCGAATGAAGCTCTCAAAGTCCTTAATCACTATCGCGCGAAAAGAAACAGCTAAAACCTCACTCCAGTGCAAAAACGTGGTATGCGAGAGGTACGAGACCTGATAAGGTTGAAAACCATAAGACTTTCCGTTAGTGATAAGGGTGGAGAGTTTGTCGTAATTCCTCATCAGTTAGATGTGGAGATAACGAAAAAGCATCTTGAAGATGCTTCGCTTTATCGCCCATCATCTGAGGAGGAATTTAAAAGTAAACACCGAGGCACTCTGGATTAATTCCAGAAATCCGAAAATGAACCGCAGGGAAGAATGCCTCATTAACACGCGTGATATAGGGCAGTATATAAAACTGCTTTTCTGATGTGAGGGGCACATTATACTTCCACGTGATTTTTATGCGGTTGGTCTCTACGTGACATACTTAGTGGAAACCTCATAGAAAGCGGTGAGTTTGCAAAGCTGTGTTCAAAGTGATTGAAATCTTGGTTTGGGGTTTCTTTGTTTGGTTATGGAGGCGTCTGGCCGAGTGAGTTGCTATCAACTTGGCCTTTCCAGGCTCTGAAGAAGGCGAAATTCGCCGAAACGTCAGCTTAATCGTGAACAAAGAACAATAACACCTCGCGTTTGCTCAACAAAAATACGCAGAAAATAAACACCGAAAATTGAACCACGAATGGGCGAAAATGGCAATGGCTGCTGGTTTAAATCCATCAGTTATCTCTCAACGTAAAGTTGACATACCAACATGCCCCGTCTTGTACTTACTCATAAAAACTCATAAGTTAGTATCCAGCGATGATCTTGCGTCCAACGATCCATCACTATTTAAGGTTAGACCTATCATTAGCTGCGTAGACGGGCCAACGGACAGGATAACATGGTTTTTAACCCTAATATTTAACCAGTTGTTGAAACACATTCCAGCCCATCTTACGAATACCCAGATGTTTCTGGATCGTCTACGTACTGCGCAGCCCAACAGCGCGTGCGTGATGGAGTCCTTCGACGTTACCGCCCTTTATACAAACGTGTCGAATGACTCCGCAATGCAAGCCATATTCGAA